CCCTTTCCATACATTCCTCTCCCGACGGGTACCGAGAAATGGCTGTACTCCTAGACAAGAACACCGTGATCACTTCGGTCAAAAGGGGTCTGATTATTCAATCCAAGGATACAGTTTTCATCTCTACTAATGACGAGATCCAGACCGACCAATCGACCGACTGAAGCCGGTCTATGTTGAATGCACGTCGCCACCCCCTGGCTCGTCCGCTCCCACTGCACCCTCACTCTCCACTCCATCTACCACTTCCAGTCAGCCGCCATTGCCACCCTCGCCACCTGACATTACCACCACCATCCCTCCCACCACACTCCTGTACCACCACTCCCTTCCACTCGTTCTGGTAGACATGTTCTTTTCCTACCAACCTACAGGACTTTGTTGTTTAACATGTTTATACACCTCGTTTGTCGGGCTTTTGTTTTTCTGTTTTACACCACCAACTTTCTGGTGGGGGAGTTATGTAGGTTCTTGTACCTCCTTGTATTTTTCAGGTCAGGTGAGTCAGTTTGTTTAAATCTACTCTAATTGGCTGACACACCTTTTGAAAAATAAACGTAGAAGTGTGACTAGCTTCCTGCGACGAGTTCTGAACATTCCTGGTTAACCTCATGCATTCATTGCATTATACGATCTCATCTGTCTCTATTCTCCCCGCCCGTCAACGACACCTGCCACTGGTAATAATCTTCGGGCTCAGAATAAGCTGACAGTGATTTGAAACGCAAGTTCTCTGAACTAGTGCCGGCTCCTGACGTTCGAACCGAGCTCCCAACTCCTACTGATCCATTCTTCTGCAAGTAATTCTTTTGTTTCTGCTATCAAAGATCAGTAGGACCTCGTGAGTTGTATCGTTCTCGTTGTATTGCCGTTTCATCAAGTTTTTCACTGTATCCATCCGCGTACCACGGTAGTTTAGTTACTCCTAGTTTGTACTATGATTGGAAGTTTCTGCTGCATGCTTTTCTAATACGTTTTCATACGTGTTGTAGGCTTAGGCACCACAACATTGATCTCCTAAATTCGTATTTGCACGCGTTTTTCAGCAAGTGCGAGCAGTTCCCAATATTTGTGTAGTTGCACATGTTACTTATGGTGCACTTTGTTCCTCTCTTTTCTACTTCTAGAAGCTCTAATTGTTTATTTACATCCCCTTTGCTCTGCATTGACCAAATTGTATAATCTCTATTATTCCCGGTTCCGTACTACACAAGGGCGGGGGGTTCCGTGTACTTTTCTGAGAGAAATATAAGACTTCTACCCGTTTCCCCTTCGATATTGCCCACTTTTCCAGAATAAAGATTTATGACGGAAACTCCTCAAACAGATTTTGCTAATGTTTATTTTCCAGAAGTTCGCGGATCCTAGAGCTATGAACTGAGCAGAGTACTGAGTACTGGAGCGGAGTGACGTAGGTGATTCCCAAAACGAACAGTTTTGTTTAATGAAAAAAATTACAGCTCAGCAAGTCGAGGGATTTTATGCAAATCGCAAACTGAACTGGGTTTCAGATAGCTCCTCTTTACGCCCTGGAGTACACGCGAAAGAATAAATGCTGATTTATTCAGCTTGGAACAACGCCCTTCGCCTTTTTATTATCGTCTTTATCATTGCCAGCATCTCCTTCTTTAGAGTCCTCGGCGTTCGCGGCGAGGTCATCTTGTTGTGCACGCGCTTCCTGCTCCAGGGTGTTCAGAGCACGACGCAAAAAAGATATGCTTTTAGGCAGACTTTTACCTTCCACAGTACGGCGGAGCATTGAGCTGACTGCCTTCTGGAAGATAACATCCACCCTCTCCTTTTGCACCACCTCCAACACCTGGTCGTCCTTCTCCTGTCTTTCATACATGGGGTCGCTAATGAGGAGGTCGATAAGTATACTGGGATTAATCTGTATGACATCTCGATCGACAATGTTTCCGATAGTCTCCATGTTTTGATCGTTCAGCGGAGGGTCGCTCATCGTGGGATTCCGAGCTATGAACAGCTCCCTTACGAGCAGAATCAGCATTAAAATGGCCAGGATCAACTGGGTAGTACAGAGCCCCATAATTTTTTCTTTTGGCAGAACGGGTTCTTTCTGAAAAAAAGATTCTTCTGATTCAAGGGCGTCAGCTATTATTTTAGGATCTGCCATTTTGTGTTAGGTTGAATGTAGCTGTTTACATTGTGTTGAAGTGCTTAACAGAACGTGGGCGCGTGTGTACGAAGGTTGCGCGTACAACGGCGGCCTATCGATCGATTTTTGTGAAATCCGAGCTGAAGCGTGGCCACTCCACGAGGCTCTAAGTCCGGCTTACTCTATTTTAGCCACTAAGTTCCACAAGTGGCATTTTCGCCAAAGCTACTTTGATAGAAATAAATATTAAAGCAGCCCAGTTGTGACAGGAGTTCTTATCAAAATGTTATCCATCTAAAGACTTGTGTGTTTAAGCAATAGGAGTGTTTCAATAGTTTTCTTGGCCTACAGGCTTCCTTGTGCTGACAAAAAGGAGTTTCTCTTAGTCTTTTTTGTTCATTTCGCACGCTTTGCATATAATTCTTTTGGTTTATCATCACAATTACGACGCGGCTGTACATTTTATTCAACAGCACACTTATCCCGCATTAAGCACACATTACCTGCTCTTTAATCACGCATTAATCTCTTACTCACGAATCCCGTCACAGACTTCGGCTGGGAGACTTTGTCATTGGACTGCCCTTAGATTTATTCCTATCTAGGATTTTCTTTGGTTGCTTCCTTCCGAGCTGACCATTTTTTATGAAGCTTCGCAGATTTTTTTGAAAGAAACTTTTCAAGCAAAATGTCAGATCACCACGGACGTGAAAAACTGTGCGTAAAACACATTACACTCTCTATATTACACTGCATATCTGGCTGCTCACGAAGAGCACCAATGCGCAAATGGCCAGTACCGGACATGGATTTTGACGAAACGGATCCTGTTCGACTAATATGCATCGATGCCGACTGCATCGACTTCATTAAGTCGCCCCTGTGTTTGACGGGATGGGTGGGGCACATCAGGGCATAGTTATGCGCAGTAACTATGTAATGAAGGGAAAATTAAAATGCCGCTGAAATTTGTTTTAATAGACCAATATTTGATTAAACGGTTGTTCAAAGCAACTGAAAATGCTTAATTTTAAGCTGATTAACCGAATATGGGCGACGAAGCTCACTGGGTAAATAAAGCAACGAATTAAATTGGGAATATCAGGGTCGGAAAAAACCGAACCGACCGCGTAGAGAGCCAGGCAAAAAGCTATAGAAGGCGAATTAGCTTAAATAAGCTTCTACGCCTAGTCCAAATAATGGCGAAAATAGTAAGTCGTGAGACGCAAACGGAGGGCTGTGAAATTAAAAGTTGGGTTGCCCTTTTCTCGTCGAAACCTACTGATCTGTGCTAGGTAAAAAAAATTGCCAATAGTAGAAAGGTGGTAGAAACTTTATTAAAAATTATGTCGCTATTGAAAATCTACTATCATTAAATTAGTTTGAGCGATAAAGTCAATTAAAAGATAAGCTGCAGGACAGGAGTTCCACGTAGAATTAATACATCTGCTTAACTAGTTGCAGTCCAAAAGGAGTCGGCCTTGGGAGGTAGCCAAATTTGCAGCCCAATTCCGCGCTACAACAAAACACATCAGACCAAAACCTGTTCCGCAATAACCAACCGCTACAGACCCATGCCGTGCATGCGGGTTGAAAGGCAAAGAGTGTAAGAATTTGTTTATGATGTGGGTCCCATATCTGTTTGGCAGTTGTGGTTTATTTTACGAAGAAGCATTTTAGTTCAGTAATAGGAGGGCGATCACTGTCGTCGCCGCCAGATTCTAGGAGATATTTTGTGGCAGCTTAAGAATCGTCGTAGCAAGCACTAACATGTCTGTGTACTTTAGCCTTGATAACAGCGTTCTCGGTATTCCTTGAGTGTAATGGTTTCGAGATCATACACTAGAGCAGGGGTCGGCAACCTTTTTAACTCAGAGAGCCAAAAAAGCAAATA